TGTCAAATTTATCTACACTTGTAGATAAATTTGTTAAATTTTACTTTAGGTATATGACCTTATTATTGAAATAAACATATTAATAAATTATTATTATTATTATATAGAATGTTCAAACTTGGTGTAGGTGTTTATTATGTGCATACCATGACTAATTTCGATAATGAGCATTTTCTGTCCGGGGTAACAGAGCGATAAGCAATTTGATTGGTCGACACTTTAGAGCTCGGTAACTTTGGTTCTAATTAAATGAGGATGGGGAGATTTCGTGTATAATTTCATTACATTAAAGTTGCAATTTCATATTTTTAAGTTATATTTTTAAAATTTATTAAAATAAAGCCTTAAAATAGATGGTATCTATAAACAGTCCTACCTTGTTAAAGAATAATCCTATTAATCCTATAATTCACTATTGCCAGTTGAGAAATTGGCAAAAATATCATTTTTATCTTCAAATTACAACGTTTGAAGATAGCTACTCCATGGTGGAGAATAGAAAACAAGGGAGGTAATTGTGTTATTATTTCCGGTGTAAATGAGTTTTAAGTGTGAGAATGGCACATATGATCGTATAATAGTGAGTTGACAACCTATTGAGCAAAAGACATAGAAATAATTATGTTTTGACTTTCTTAGAAAATATGAATTTGTAACTTTAATACCTTGATTAAATTCGGCAATAAGCATGTTCTGTTTAGTCGAAGTAGAGACTTCAAACTGATTGGTGTAGGTTTATAATACTATAGGCTATACTTTGGCTAACTTCGATGATAAGAATTTTCTGCTTGGGCAAAGTAGCGATAAGCAATTTGATTGGGCAAGACTTTGGAACATAACAACTCTGCTCTTAATTGAGGTAGAATGTTTAATTTCTTGACTGAGTTTAATGATTAACATTTTCCGCTAAAGCTAAGCAGAGCTCAGTAATTTCAATGGTCGGTGCTTTGGGACAAGATAACTTTCTTTGATTCCAACTTATGGAAAGGGATGAAACTTAGTAAAGAGTTCCATTACCAGTTACTTCAAAATCTTGACTGATTCAATCGTGAACATTTTCTGCTTAGATTGAGTACAGAGATCAGTTTGATTGCTCGAATTATCTCCAAAAGATAAATGTGCAATTAATTAATATGTGTCATCTGTTTATTTTGGGATTGCTGCGGGGGAAAATCAGCTTCGATGTTGGCTTGTTTTATAGTCTAATTATTGATTGTTCATTAATCAAACCATTGTGTATAAATAATTTATGGCATTCTATTATAAATTTAAAGACATCTTCCTGAAGCCTACAATTCTAACAGATTTGGAAAAGCCGTAAAGTAACTCGCTTCACAATAATTATTCGACGATTTCAACTTCCAAGTGATCTTCCGTACACGTGGATGCACAATCAATAATTAACGTTCTCATTTTTGTTGGGTTTTTAAAAAAAAAAATAAAAAAATAAAATAAATAAAACAATTCGACAGGGGCAATAACTCGATGACCGATAATTTCGATTGTTTTCTACCCTACATGAACAAGAAAGAAAAGCAGGGTTCAGTGAGGGCTTTTCAACTCGATTACTTCATACATTAAAAGCTGTGCCATGCTTTTGACTGACATTAACATTTTTGCAAGATCAAGATCAATTTACGAAGGAAGGTTGTGTAATTAACATTGAAATGAAAAGACAATAAATCGCTTGTTTACCCTATTTAATGGTTAATAAAAAAAAGTGTCAATAGCCATTAGTTATTTAAATAATGCGTTGTAATAGATGTGATCAATCGGTTTTATTTGCACTGAAAGGATTCTCTCCTACTTACAGGAGAAATCTACGTAGTGCAACCCTTCCGACAGGTTTATATGTGACCACTACAGTCTTCCAAACACAAGGATAAATTGAAATATCGAACATGTCCATTCTTATATATTTGTTTTAACTTGTTTATTGACCAGAAAAGAAGATTGACCCGCACTCTTTCGGTACTGTTTGAGGGAGGAAAAGTAGTATACTTAGGTAGACGTCACACTTGTAATATTTATAAATAAGCGCCCTTATCCTCGAATCATTGTAAACGTCCTGCAGGTCGAATTGTTTTAGATTTAAATTTTTCAAAGTTGCTGCTTTGAACGCAGCTAAAAACATTGAGATATACTGATGTATTGGTTTTTAGCTACCACTGGATGCCTTTAGTTTCAACTGGCAAACTTAATTTCTTTATTAAAGGGGCATTATGTAAGATTAGATTTAGATATAGAACTGAACAGATCTCGCTATAATAGCTAAGTAGAGCATCGCTATCGCCATAGGCGTACGAGCTGGGGGGGGGGGGGGCTGGGGGCGGCCGCCCCCCCCCCCCCCCATATTTTGGGCACCAAATGCTGGGAAAATTTGGGCACACAATTGTACTTTGTAAAAGTTGTATAAAATAGTATTGCGTTCTTGAATGTGTCCAATTTAACAGCTAATTTATTATTATTATGTAACATACTAAGAACCTAGCTACATTTTTTGGGCACCAACCACCACCGCCCCCCCCCCCCCAGTCAAAAATTTCCCCGTACGCCTATGGCTATCGCTGCAATATACGTCCACATTCCTGCTTTGATTCATATGGTACTTTTAAAAATAAAGTGGGTGTGACATCCACCAAAATAAATAGTTGCTATTCTTACGTTACAAGGAATAAATATGCCAAGTTCCAAGATGATTCATCCAGATTCAGAATTCCAATCTGTAGACAACCGCAGGAATTAGGCGTGGTTCTGCCCCTTGGGGTTGGACATGGACCAATATAGATAGGTACAACCCTATGATGGATCATACTGAATTGGATCCAAATATGTTAATAATTGCAACCTGTAGATTATTTGCAGACAAAATATTAACAAAAAGTGGGTGTGCCACCATCCAAAGGGGGACGGACCATGTACCAAAATCAATAGCTGTCGTCCTTGGGGTATAATGAATAACTATACTAAGTTCCAAGATTGTTCGTGGCTCTGCCCCTAGGAGTCGGGACATGCACCAAAATCAATAGTTGCCGTCCTTAGGCTATAAGGAATACAAGATGATCCATTAAAAATGGGTGTGACTCAGCCCCTGGGGGTCGGGCATTCACCAAATAAATAGGATCATCCTTAGGGTATAAGGAATAGGTATGCAAAGTTTCAAAAGGATCTGTAAAGAATTGCGGCCTGTAGGCGACCCACACAGAAATTGAGGTTGCTCTGTCCCAGGGGGTCGGGCATGCACCAAAAATAATAGAGGTCATCCTTAGTGTATAAGGAATAAGTATGAAAAGTTTCCAAGACGATCCATTAAGAATTGCGGCCTGTATAGACGACACACGGACACACACAGAGAAAATGGGCGTGGCTCTGCCCCTGGGTGTTGGGCATGCACCAAAAATAATAGGGGTGATCCTTAGGGTATAAGTATCCAAAGTTTCAAGATGATCTGTTAAGAAATGCGTCCTGTATGACAAACAACCAAAAACAATAGGGATCATCCTTATTATTTCAAGACTATTCATAAAGAATTGTGCCCTGTAGGCCACCCATAGACACACACACACGCACGCGCGCGCACACGCACCCACACACACATACACACAGACGTGGACGTACAAAAATAGATAAAGAAAAGGGAATATCTAGGCGAATTACTTCACACTGAGCCGAGTTACCGCAAATACAATCACAGTGTAGCCTCGATTATAATTGCTACCGATGTTACGGCAGTAAACAAAGTCTCGATTATCCATTTTTCCGGTGAATCATCAACTGCAAATCGTATTTAAATCTATTGAAAATCTAGACTATCCGATGGCATCGAGAGTTGGTTATGGTCTTGGTAAGTTAATTAATGTCTAATTAATAATTCATATAACATTTAAGGCATAAATATTCGATAGTCAAATTTGGCTCGCTCTTGTATAATGCTTGTTTAAAGCATGTAGGTGTTTTTAATAGAATCAGAAAGTTTCTATGATAAATTAAGGTACATTAGTCATGCGTGACCCATGAAGGTTCTCTACTTGCGTTTTTAAATTGTCAAAGTCGCATAATTATTTTGATTGGTTGTTGTACGCGACATATTTAGCCCCTACTTTTAAAGCTTCGATATAAAAAAAAGATGATTTGTACCCGTGTAGAATTGTATGTTTAATTGTAATTGGAGGTGGCAGAAATGTAATAAATAACAACCATAATCAATTGTTGTTTTGAAGAAAGATTTGACAGTTTTGTTTGTTTTTGCCCGATACAGTACCACCTCTTATCTCGAGAAATATTGGATATCAGAAGCCCATCTTTTCCAGGTAAGATCACAATACCAATGCTGATTTAAATTGCAAAAAAAATCGTGTTTTCAATGTCGAAGATTTTGGATGATATTGAGTTACGGACTTAGCTACTTTAACCTTTATTTTGTCACACTGGGGCTTGCCTTTATTAAAGTAGCTAAGTCTTAAGTCTCTAACTCAATATCATCCAAAATCTTCGACATTGAAAACACGATTTATTTGTCGGTTTAAATCAACATTGATATTTGGATCTTACCGGGAAAAGATGGCCTTCTGATATCCAATATCCAATCGTGTACCATAATGCGTTTCAGCGCTATTTGTAATAAGGGACTCGAAAAACGAGGCTAGGCATATTCCACAAGTCATGTCAAACGGTGACGCTATATTCTTATCTGGAGAGCAAGCCCAATAAATAATATCGGCGTAGACTGGAATAACCAGACGCTAGAGATTGAAATTCGATTGAGAACACTGCAGCTGGCGAACCAAACTTATTAAAAATTACAGTAAAAACAGAAACGTTTGAATGTAAATCAATTTATATACATTCATATTACATTATTGTATGCGTTGCGACCCATTTGTGTCAATTTCTAGGTCCCAAATATTAGCGACTTAGCTCCTTTAAGTGGAACTGCGTGGGATATCCGTATGTTTCGTTTCGTTTCATTGATTAGTAACAAATTTTGGTCCCGCACTAAAGTTGTCTCCCTTGCATTCTAAGAAAAAGAAAGTTGCGAATAGTTTGGAACTAATAAATCGAAGCATATTTTTCTGAATAGCTTGCTAAAACATTCATAAACAAAAATGGCGAGAATAAAGATATCGGAGTCAAGATTTGCTGCATTAATGGGCGATGACAAGAAGTCTGACAGTAAAAAGAAGAACAAGAAACCTGCACAGAATGAATCAAGTAAACAACAGAATCCAAATCAGAAGCAGGGGCAAGGCCAAGGAAAGAAAAATAAAAAGAAATCGAGTGAGGTAATACTGAATGTAGTGATTTGAATTGAAAGCACAGGTTGTCGCTGTTGTTGTCGTGATTTAATCCTGTGAACTATCTTAAGCCCTCTGGGATATAGACCTTTCTTACACTTAAGAAATGCCTGCCACCATTAAATTGAATAAATTTTAAGAGCGACAGGACGATTTATCCGACACTACCCATACCTCCCCTTACGGATTCAATACTAACAAATACTACCTTATTGATATGTAAAGCTGACAGAATACTTAAATATTGTGTGAAATTAAATTGAGTTAATTTGTGGAATTAGCAAAAATTGTACGGTAAATTGGAATGTCTATGTATTAATAAAAGTATAGGTCCGTACCAGTAGATCAAGCACCTGATCAATACAGTATCCAATATAACCAAATTCTACAAAATGCAACCTTATTATCCCAAACTGACAGAAATCTTCAGTTAGTTAAATATCAATGAGTTATTACCCTGAGAAAGTGCAAAAATTGTATGGTGTTGGTAATCTGAACTACCTTTACCAATAATAGGACAAACCGATATCAGTGATAGGGTACATGGAAAGGCAAAACATTGAATAAATAATTTAATTTTTGCAAACAAACATATTGTTATTCAATTGATTATAGTTTTCTATCCTTTTTTGGTAGTATTGGCCCATTGTTTTATAGAAATGGATTGATTTTTGGTTGTCTATATATCCTGGTTGATCAAGGGAGATAACCGGAATGGCGAGCCATTGACCATCACATTTGCAGTACATTTAGAGTCCCATTTATTTTAAGGCATACGTATGTATCCTTCACCGAAGTTTTTAGAGGTGCTGTTCAAGTTACAATAAATAGGATATTACATCAATATGATCAAATATACATGTATATAAATATCTATTGAACTTGATACAAAGATATAAAGCTCTAAAAACATGAAAAATATAATTGTATAAGAAAAGTTGACTAAAACAATCTCTCTTTTAAGGTACGCAATTGCGAACAACGTGCACCATAGTGCACCTGAAATTGATTGAGACGTGTAAACAATGATGTGCATCTCTATAATTTCATCATCCACATGATGGCCCAAAATGTGAGCATGTCTACAATCGCCAACAGCTTGGTGATCTTTACGCCTGGCAACGAATCGACTTCAGACCAATATACTTCCATGTATTTAATTATTCCATTCTAAATTGGTTGTGATGTAAGAATTGACTACGAATGAAAACTGTGAATGGTGGGGATCGAACACCATTTGCAGTGTTTACATTCAATCACAATACAAAGTTATAAGACAATTCACAGCTGATTTTTACAAACAACTATTTTCACACATCTACATGTACACTTGTTTTTATCTGTTTGACACTAGTTTATAGCATTATCAAATATCTACATATATATCTAAATAAATTCATACTTAGGCGATCAACATGTAGTTTTACTAATGGTACTACAGTAATTAGTGCAGCTCATTGCTCGGTTTATATAACCATTTTAAACACCAAAACCATGTCCAAAAATAAAGTTGTTTTTATTTATAAGAAAATTTGAGTAATTCATATAATTAGCTCAGAGTATTTCATATTATAATTTTTAGTGACCTATCCTCAAGGCAAGATTAATAATAAAATGGTGCCCTCCCAACTTGAAAATATATTTCAGTAGTTTTAGTGATAATATTCAAAGGATTCCAACCAAGATTAACAGGAATATAGTAAGGTGTAGGGTTTTGCCGCAAGCGATTGAAACTGCAGCTTATTGTGCTATTTCTTTTAGTACAAGGTAACCTCTTCTAAGTTATACACAAAGGTATTTTTATACTCATATGTACTTAATTACATAATAAAAACTGTATTTACAATAAAATAGTACATACATGTATCTGTGACTTTTGGAATACATGTGAATGAATTGCTGTGCCTTGAATACAGCTAATTTTCTTTAATTGAACTTTACTATTCTTTATTAAATAAGGAAGGTATATTATTTGTCACCTTTTTATACACCCACATTTTCATGTGGTCGTATATTGTCTGTACATCCCAGATTGTATAAAAAATCATGTTTTTAGGTTGTGGACATTCTAGAGATCACAATTTTTATCCGATTTTGATGAAACTTAAAATGTATGTATTTATATCCCAAAGGTCTTGGTTCCTTTCGATATTGGTGCATATAACTGTCCATCTCTTGCAAAATGTGGGCGTATCTTGCATGGCAAGCTCTTGTTTATTCATTGGTTTTCTTTCATGTCATAGAATGAAAATAAACCACCTTCTGCAACTCAACGACAAAATAGTGAAACAGATGAAAATAGAAACAATACTGATGACTGGAGTCAGTGGAGGGAAAGAGATTCAGAAGTGAGTTTTCTTTTTATAAAATACTTGTACATATAGGCTTACTGCTTCAAATGTAATAATGTATTTGTTAATGCAATATAATGTGAAGTTCAATGGCATTCTTCTCTTCTTCTTTAGTTCTTTCTGTTTCAAGTGTAACATAATACTGCCTTCGCAGTCAATTATGGTCCAAAGTTACTGCCTTTACTTCTCTACATGAGATACCATTGGTCTCTCATTCTAAATGCACAATTTCTTGTGACTACTCTGCTCTTCACAGGGATTGTATATTGAGTCATGAGGAAGACCCCTATGGAAATTTATTATTTTCGATGGGCTGCGCAATCCATCAATTAACCATGGGGATGTTATTTGAAATTTTGTAAAAGGGAAATTAGAATTTAGGAGTACTAATAATTCTCACATTTTAGTTCACAGATGAAACTTATGAGAAAGATCTTCAGGAAGCTTTATTACTTAGTAAACTTCAAATAGAGGAACAGAAGCAGGTTTGTAATTTTCTCATAAAATCTCATGTGAACCATTGTTTCATAATCATTGAAAGCATAATTTTTTCGTAGAAACTGTTCAAATTTTGAGATAACATTTTTACATAAGTAATATTCATTTAGCAGGACTTAAAGACCCATTATCACTTCCACCAAGAAAATAAACGCATGATAATTATTTTTGAACAGTATAGTATTTTATTAAATATAACCTTTCACTCCCCTGATTATTGAAAATTCTAGTGCTGTACTCAAACTGAGATATTTTGTCAAAGTGCTCATTTAACACCTTGAAAACTACTGCAAAATGTGTACAATTAAAAGTGGAAACATCTGTATCTCAAAGTTGGATTGTTACATCTTTTTCATATTTCACAAAACTATTCCACTATTTGGGCAGCATAGGTTTGGGCTTTTTCTAAGATGTAGATCACCCAGAAGTAAAGGGAGGTAATAGGGCTTTACCCAGAGGCCGAGATAGTCATGCTTTGAGCACAACCCATGTGGATAAAGCATATTATAAATTTGCACATTGGTATTATTGTTAAAAATCTAATTTGAACACCCCAATAAGCAATTATATATAAAGGCTAAATGGGTGTTCAAATTATTTCAAATCCAAAAATAAACCAGTGGTTTTAGATTTTAATGCATCTAGGTTGTAATTTGTCATCTTTATGTTAAAGGTAAAGAAACAACAAAAACAGACTGAAAATGGGAAGACAGATGAATCTACTCAAAATAAAAAGAAAAAGAAGAAAGCAATGAGTTTAGAACAGTTTAATGCTACCGATCATGAAAAGAAAGGTTACCTGTTAAATTTACCTGTTACGGTTGAAAGGGATCATACATTTATTCTTCTTTCAGTACAGGTTCCTCATTTGCTACTGTAGTAGTGCTATATTTACAGAAATATGGTCTTTCTCAGACTTCTTTGGATTATTTATACAATCTTTTTGGAGTTTGAATATCAGAAAAAAAAGTGTATTTAATTGTAAAGTTGGTGTGATTGTTCATTGGGGGTATACCTATCTTTACTGAAATGATTACGTGTTTCGGTACAAAACACATTGTTTTCGTAAGAGTTTTTATACGCCAACATTAAAATGTGGTCATGTATTGTGTTTAAGGTCATGAGACAAAGAATCCTATTGATTTATAACGTTTTTCTCTAATTACTGCCAGAGTTATGGCCCTTGATCACTTTGGAAAATCTTGTAAACGCTCAAGAGGCTAAAGTTAATATTCGATTGACTTTAAATTTATACACAGTTGTAAAGGTCATGAGACGAACAAGCCTATTAATTTTCAATGATTTCCGATAATTACTGCCCCAGAGTTATGGACGCTCTAGAGTAAAAAGTTAATATCCAATTGACCTTAAATTTATACATGCTGTTTACGGCCATGAGACGAAGAAGTCTATTGATTTCCAACTATTTCCTATAATTACAACCGGACTTATGGCCCTTGACCTCTTTGAAAAATCTTGTAGAAGCACTAGTGTCTAAAGTTAATATAAATTGTTTAAGGTCATGAGACAAACAATCGAAAAAAATTCTAATGTTGTCTGATAATTACTTAAATTAGCTAAATCACTATTCTTTGGCACCTCGAAATGGACACAAATGGGTCACAACTCATATAATAATGTAATATGAATTATGAATGTATATAGACTGATTCCAGTTTCACGTTGAAATTTGTTTTGACTTTTGACCTACTATCTGGATACCTAGATGCTAATATCAAAAAGTTTGATCTTGAAGTATAACTTCTGGTTTTAATGAGAGTTCAAAATGACCGTTTTTTCCACTTTAATAGGTATTAATGCATGGTGTAACTTGATTGTTGACGTGACAAGGTGTGACGTACCGAAACACGTCAGTACTCCTTTTCACAAATCTAGTTTGTTTCTATTTTTAGAAGAAGAAAAAGGTGAAAGTCCTGAACCCATCATTCCCACTACAAAGGTCCATCCAAATAAAGCTAATGTTAAATATTTCAACAAGGTAGAAGATGATGTCAGTAAAATACTACGCAAAGAGAAAATACAAGAAGACTATAAAAAGGTTTAAAATTTCAGTAAAAACATGTCAGATTATATTCTCAAACATTCCGCTTTAATAATGAGCTCTGTGATGTCAAATGTAAATTGAGTTTGTTCTTATTTCCCTTAAGATGTATTCCCTACAGCATAATTGGGTCCTTTTTGTGTTAATCTTAAAGATATGATTAACTCCATTTTGATAACGACATTGCTATTTGAGAGCATAGGAATTTCAGAGTTGTATTTTCATACTGAAAAAGATTTTCAATTCAATTTAGATTTACATTGATTAAGATTTCTTTGAATAGAACCAATGATTAGTGGTTTGATTAATGTTTGAAATATATATCCAATTACTATTTCAGCATTATGCCCAAGAGAGTGTTATGGCATCAAAATATCAGGAAGAGTTAGAGAAAAAGGATGAAGAAATTGAAAAATTACAAAACCAATACCAAACATTAGCTGTGAGTATAGTCTCCATTTGTCAATAAATATGTTATGATTTACCTTGATCAATCTCAGAAAGCCATTAGCTCTATTATTTCACTTTCCTTCTCTTTCTTTAAACACTGTCTCAGAAATGTAAGTATTGGAGTGGGTTGTTCGGAAGTATGTAGTGAAGGTTATTTGATGTTTTTCAGATTTGATGAGATACTGACAATTTGAATATATGTTTTTTGTTTTGTTTTGTTTTTTACAATATAACTTTCATCAATATTATGTTTACCAATCTAATTAACATGGCTGTGCCAGGCAATGAATGGACGCCTAAAAATATTTTTAAGTCAAAGTGTGGCTTGAAAGGTTCAGAGGCAAAATTGAATGGCAAGTCTGAATTTCGATAAGGTTTCTTCATAGGACAAACCAAACAGTCACCAGTGGCACATTTACATGGTTTTTGGTGACAAGGACAATAACTCTGCGATAAATTGTTGCACAACTGAATTATCGCAGCTGGGTCATTCCATGTCAAGTGGACCAAATTTCAGAAAGTTGGGAACATGACCCCAAATTTTACCTACTGTCCCACATGGCCAAAATTGAAGGAGAAAATGGGTCAATTTTGTACATTTTCAGTGTGCAATGAACTTTTAGGCTGAATATTTTGAAAAGTATATATCCTATCAACTTAAAATCTTTTGTAAATTGATTAACTATACCAATTTTGGAGGTTATGTATACAATAGTGACTTTGCCAGAGGCTGTGGAAATCCTGAAAAAAAAGTTAATAGTTCATTTATTCCACATTTTGGTGGAACGAAAAGGATGAATCGCACATTGAGTATTATGCTAAATTCGTAATCTACACCAAAAGTTGTCTTAGATTACAAAGTCAAAGAGAGTTCTATTCCTATTAGAAATGTGAGTTTAAAGCACCTGAAAAGCTGAAAAAAAATACAGAATTTATGATCCGTTTGAGTACCCTAATTTCAAATGACCTCAGTGAGTTTTTGACCTAGAGAGGTAAAATTTCGATTTGTAAGTTTAAGATCATATATTATCACATATATTTTATTTGGAGGGGTGATGTTCCCACCATTGGTCCAGTTGGCATGGAATGACCCAGCATGTTTGAAAATATTCTCTCAAAAACAGTAAGATGAAGTGGAGTAAATAACCGTAATATGGTGGAAATTTTGGTATAATTTAATTATATGGTATGGCTTACTTTCATTTAAATATAGCCATATTGATGTGATAATTTTAAAAACATATTTTTTTATTTTTTTTTTTGCAGGAGGAACATAAAAAAGTGAAAAAAAGAAATAAACAGTTATGTTTTATTCTAGCTGAAGGGGAGAGTAAGTGTTTTCTTCCATTAGTCCATTACTAATTCTTTCTGTCTACTTATACCATTATACCATTGCTAGTAGATTATATATTTTAAGGGTTATCTATTTAACATTAAGGTTTTCTATTGCTAAAGAGCCCTGTAAACAAGTATATTAATAAGATAAAGAGATATACTAGAGGTTATCAAGATTAGTTGAATGGAAGTAAAACTCTATTTCATTCCTAGGCTAGTTATCAGTTGACTGAATATTCCCAAAAAGCGCAGAAATAATTAGATTGACAATTACTGTCCTTTCCAACTGTTTGAGAATTTGTGATTATTTCAGAAACAAGGTCTGCATTCGATGCTTTGACCAAAAATTGACATTGCAGGCTAATCCTTCGAAGTCTATTTAATAAGTTTGAGACTATGTTTAGGGTGTTCGTAAAATGTCAACATTTTCATCCACTCAGTGCAGTCTCTGAAATCACACTCCTTCAATTATAATGTTAAAGGAGCTAAATCGCTATTCTTTGGCACCTAGAAATGGACACAAATGGGCTGAATACATATATTAATGTAATATGAATGTATATAAACTGATTTACATTTAATTGTTTCTGTTTTTACTGTTAATTTCTGTTATCTGTTCTATGGTGTCTATGCAAGTTATCTGTTCTATGCTGTTTATATAAGTTATCGATTTCCATCCTGGGATTTTACATACTAAGAGTAAAAAGTAAGAACAACTGCCTAACCTCATTTCTTCCTCTCCCACGCTAAAGTTAAGTTGACTAAAATTGCAATATGACTAATCAGAAAAGAAATATATTAATGTTTAGGACAGGTAATGCAAAGTATTTGTTAGGAGTAGAGGTACATACAAGGACATCTGGGAGTAGAAGGAAGAGCTCAAAACACAGAACTTTCTCCTAAGAATGAAAAATTGATATTTTGAAGGATGTCTCATGTGATAAATGTGTGTTTGTTTATTTTAGTGAAAGATAAAACAGAAGTATTATTACAAGTAGAAGAATTAAGTCAAGTAAAAGATGAACTCACAGATCAGGTAATAGTTATAAAATTATATCAGCCCTAATATTAGGGCTAATAATTTGGTGATCATGAAATTTTTTAGTATTTTGCCCCCCCGCCTTTCGGAGAAAGCAGGGAACTATTATAATGGGTCTGTCCGTTTGTCCGTCCGTCACACTTTTTGGCACAAAATAACTCTCCTTCTAATTGAGTTAGAATGTTCAAACTTGATGTAGGTGTTTATTAGGGTAAGCTGAGATAATCAATTTGATTGGTTCATGCTTTGTGACACAATAACTTTAGTTTTGATTAAGAGAGAGATCAAACTTGGTGTATAGTTTTATTACATCAACACCATGACTAAGTTCGATAATGAACATTTTCTGCTCAGGGTAAGCAGAGCGATAAGCAATTTGATTGGTCGAGATTTTGAAACACATTACCTTGACTAAGTTTGATGAGAATTTTCTGCTTAGGCTAAAGAGCGATAAGCAATTTGATTGGTCAAGACTTTGGAACATAGCAACTCTGCTTTTAATTGAGGTAAAATGTTTAAACTTGATGTTGATGTTCATTAGGTGAATTACTTGACTGAGTTCAATGATAAACATTTTTCGCTAAAGCTAAGCAGAGCCAAGCAATTTCTTTGCCTTTGATTCTATCTGATAGAGAGTGATGAAACTTAGTTTAGAGTTTATAACCAGTTTGATTGCTTGATACTTCTGAAAAAGAAGAACGTGCAATTGATTAATATGTGTCTTGTCATCTATTTATTTTGGGATTTCGGCGGGGGACATCAGCCTCATTGTTGGCTTGTTGATTCTCATTTTGTTTGAAATTAAGTTGCTATGACATTTGGGTTGGGTTCTATTACTTGAGAATTATCCTGTTCGAAAACCTTTAATTCAAAGGAAAAGAGAGAATGTTAGCTATACTCAAAATAATCATATTAGAAATCATAATTTATGATTCAAATAAAGAGGGTAGAATAATAACTGCAAGTTTGTGCAGGATCTAAATTAATATGCTCTTTCTAGGTTTCTGAATTAACAGCAGAGTTAGAGAAAGAGCGATCAAAAGTACACATGTTGAAAACAGAAATAGACAAATTAAAGGTAACTATACCATTCTCCAAAATTATATATCGAGCTGTCTTTATCAAATGTATTGGCAGTGTGCAATATAAATCTGTATAATTTATTATACAATCGCTTCATTTTTATACGCCCACATTGAAATGTGTTCGTATATTGTGTCAGTCCGGGATCCACAATTGCTTGTGGGCGCTCTGGAGGCCAAAGGTAATATCCGATTGATTTTAAATTTATACAGAGTGTTTACGGTCGTGAAACGAGGAAGCCTCTTGATTTTCAACAATTCTGATAATTCCTACCAGAATTATAGCTCTTGATTACTTTGAAATATCTTGCATGGATGCTATAGAGACTAAAGTTAATATCCTATTGACTTTAAATTTATACACAGTGGTTACGGTCATGAGACGAAGAAGCCTAATGATTTTCAACGATTTCCAAAAATTACTGCAGGAGCTATGGCCCTTGACTTCTTTGAAAAAAACTTGTGGCTGCTCATGAGGCTTAAGTTAATATCCGATTGACTTTAGATTTATACACAGTGTTTAAAATCAACGATTTCCAAAAATTACTGCAGGAGCTATGGCCCTTGACTTCTTTGAAAAAAACTTGTGGCTGCTCATGAGGCTGAAGTTAATATCCGATTGACTTTAGATTTATACACAGTGTTTAAAATCATGAGAATGAAGAAGTCTATTGATTTTCAACAAATTCTGATAATTTCTACCAGAATTATGGCTCTTGATTACTTTGAAATATCTTGCATGGATGCTGTAAAGGCTAAAGTTAATATCTGATTGACTTTAAATTTATACACAGTGTTTAAGGTCTTAAGACGAAGATGGCTATTTCCAATAATTACTGATTGATTTCTTTGAGAAATCTTGTGAATGCTCTAGCTTTACAGACTAAAGTTATCATCGGATTGACATTAAATTTATACACAGTGCCAGAGATTTCACCCTTAACTTCTTTGAATATTCTTGTTCACACTCTACAGACTTTAAATTTATACATAGTGTTTATGGTCCTGAGACGACAAACCTTTTTGATTTTTTTAAACAATTTTTGATAATTATTTTTAGAGTTATTGCCCTTGATCACTTTGAAAAATGTTGTAAATGCTTTCAAGACCAAATTTATCATCTGATTGACTTTAAATTTCTATACAGAGTTTAAGGTCATGAGATGACAAAATCTGTTGATTTTCAACGATTTCTGATAACTTAAACTGCTAAATTCATGATATTCAATGTTTTATGTACTAAACGTTAGCATGTGCCAGAACTAGAAGCCAAACAAATTCTAATGATTTCTGATAATTACTTAATGGGTTGTTACTCTTAACCAGATTTTAGTGTGTTGTAAATTTTTTCAATACCGACAGAAGAAAAAATATGTGACACCTCTTGTTGAATGCTCTGACGACTTAGCTGCTGTGGACGTATGTTTTATTGCCTGACAACCTATCTTTTTGTATATACCTACATTGTAGTGTGGTTGTATATTGCTGTTACCCCTGTCCGTTAATGGGGGGTTGGATGGCTGAATGGTTAGCATGTGCACGCTGTATCATAAAGTCTGTCATTGAGTCAACTGGTGTGGTTTCGATTCCCGGGTTGTACGTGACAAGGAGTAGGGTCGCCTGTCCAACCACGTGGGTTTTCTCCAGGTCCTCTGGTTTCCTCCCACTGCTAAAGACCCCTACGCGTAAGCGAATTATGGAAATAAAACTGAACCATATGTTAGTCCCGAAATGACCTAGTTTGTGTCGAGTGGACATTAAACCCCATCTCTCATTCTCTCTGTCGGTTAATCCTTCCATCATTTTAATTACATCTAACTTAACTACCTTTCCTCACTTTGTAGAATCTTATGAAATGTATAGCAATATCGATTATTGCTGGATCTGCTTGAAATTGGTGTGCATTGTTCCATTTAATAAAACAGATACTGTAGTTTCTAGGGTCATGACCCTTGATTGTTTTGTAGAATCTTCTAAACACTCAGTGAGAAAAGTTATGGTCTAATCTTCGTGAAATGATTTTCTTTTATGTATTAAGGTGAAGAAGTTTATCAAATTCCAACAATCTGACAACCTGTATGGACCACTGGGACTGGCAATTTGATAAGACCAATTTACTGTTAGAGAGAGAGAGAGAGAGATTCAAACTTTATTTCAATGATTCGCTTGCCTGTAGAGGTCTTTAGCAGTGAGAAAACCCACGAGGTTGGAAGGCAACCCTACTCCTTGTCACGTACAACCGGGGAATCGAAACCAGGCCAGTTGACTCAATGACAGACCTTATGATACAACGCACATGCGCTAACCATTTCCCTATTCACCCCGCCCCCACAAAGCAAGCAAATATATTATATTTTAAATAACTCTTTGGTTTGACTGAAAGATTAAAAATGCTGTTATAATTTAATTTGATGTGTGGGTTGGTTTTATGAAGTAGGTGTTTGTCTACAGTTAAAATTAAGGTTTACAGATATAAACAATATTGAGATCAAACTATATTGATGTTCAACTGTTCACAGTTTAAGCCAAAACTGAAACTAAAATTAGTGAACCAACTGACTTCCACTTTTCAAAATTTATTCATATAGAGGATGTGTCTCCATTACTAATCAATAAAGAACACATTAGATCAACCCAATTCAGTAATTTATTTCATCTAAATCAAATATGATTTAGCCCTGTTAATGTCAAGTTAATACAATTAAACACACAAACTTCAATATTTGTTGTTTTTCAGGGTGTGAAGTCCAGCCGCTGAAACAAATGCCAATTCCAAACAACATTATAAGAAGATTCTTGGATTTTTAGAATGCTGGTGTACCATAGCATCAAAATAATTGATCTGAACTTCGTTTTTTGAGATAAGGTCTATGGTGTTAATTATACCAGATAAATGATATTTTATGGTCTATGGTGTTAATTATACCAGATAAATGATATTTTATGTTACTGGACGCAAATTGGATGACTTAAAAAAACATTGTTTTTTTTAGTATTATCTTAAAGATATACTATTAACCATAAATTTTGTTGCATGTTTACATTATTTGTTTATGTTTCATTAATAAAATCAAAACTGAAGAGAATACAGTTTATAGTTTAAGATTCGCTTATTCACTTATTATATTAAAAATTCATAAACATGTCAGAGGCTGACAAGAAAAGCCTGTTATGTCTTTCCATGCATAAAAGATCCCTTACAGTTGGAATAAACACCAATACAGATGCAGGACAGCATATAGTCATTTGAATGGTACGGAAAACTGAGGTCCTGACTCCTGTGGAAACATTGGTGTGCACATAACAAAACCTTTAATAGCTGGAATTCAATGGCTGTCTGGACAAAATTTCCCTCATAGCACACTGGATGGCTATGCCCATCTTCATTAAACCGGTTGGTGCAGATGTAGGTCCTCAAACACCCCATTCTTTCATTAATTCTTTCACAGCTCCTTATGGGTATTCTACAGGACACTCTTATTATCCAACAATTTTGATATATTGTTACCCTTAAAATAGGGTTACCAGATTATTCATTGACGAAACCGGGACATTTGTTATTCTGATCAGACAAAGGTAAAAATGAGCACGGAGCACCCGAAGGGCGTGACGTAAATGAGTGCCCATAGAGAGCGATATATTGAGGGGGGTTGGGACCATGCACCCCCAGAATTGATTTCTAGAAGCCGGTAGATGTGTTTTCTGTCATTTTGTGATGGTAGTTATACTAAACATATGTTGTTGAATGGACGATTGACGAGCATTATATCGATTTTTCAACTTTTAGATTGTTTTGTAATATGTATTGTAATAGTACCCTACCTTTAATAGGACTTGAGAATAGGAATCAAATCAAATTACAGAGTTATTGTTCTTGATCAGTCAGAAAAAAATTGTGGATGATCTTACAATTACGTCAAACAAAACATTAAATATTTGGCTCCTTGATAATTGATAAATACACTAGAGTAGTGGTTCCCAAATTCTTTCTATAGGACTCCATTTAAATGTGGTCGTAGATTGTCGTAGGTCCTGAGTTCACAATTGCTTGACTTTAAAATTATAGGCCTACACCAGTGTTCAAGGTCATCAGACGAAGACGCCTATTGATTTTCAACGATTTCTAATAATTACTGCTAGAGTTATGGCCCTTGATCACTGTTTATGCGTAGTGAGATAATGTAAGTGTATTTTATGTCACTATAATTTGATTGAAAAATAAATAAACAAACAGGTTACTAGGCTATTGTATCATGTAAATTTAAACAAAAAAAATAAGTGAAAGCATGTTCATTTAAATTTTGCGTTGATATTTAATTGAACTTGAAATTTATATAAAAAAAATAAACTGATATTACATCATACACGAATTTTCCCCAATATACACGCCGATTACTTTGGCGATACTGGAAAAGTGCCGCGTTCGTAGCGCCACCTAGTGGTAACCACATGATGCCAAGATGGCGGTATAAACAAACATGTTAAGACGAAACCCGTAGAAAATAAGAATTATGCGGCATCACTAGATTGAGGACCAAAGAACAACAGTTCATCCTGATGTAAAATAACAAAATAAAATATCACCATGAATTGTGAAGATCCACTGTCATGGAAAGATCTGGCAGAACAAAAAGAAAGGGAGTGGAAAGAATTTACTCACCGAAGAATTGAATCGCTAGAAGCCGCATTTAAACAAAAAGATAAAGATCTTTCTGAAGAAAAAAACAAATTTCAGAAGCTGAAAGATGATTTTAAATATAATTTTAAGTTATTGCAAGAGAGAGACCAAGAATTAGAAAGGTATGACGCTGTACTTACAAACTTAAAAGCTGATGTCAACAACAAAAATTCGGAAATAAGCGAATTGAAAGTGCAGGTGGATGAGATGCGTACACAGTTAAAACAAGAACAAAAAGGCAGAGAAGAATTGCAGATACACTATCAACAACGTCTAAAGGAGAAGCAAGCAGAAGTGGATTCATTTCGCCACAAGAAAGAGGCAGAGTTTGGAGAAGAAAGAAAAGAGTTTGAAGACTTTAAAAGAAATCTTGAACAGAAACTTACTAAATTAGATGTAGAGATGGATGTACAAAAGAGAGAACTAAATGCTGGATTTGACGAGGCCATGAAGAAAAGAGAAACAGAATTTAGACTGAAGGAAGATGAAATGAATGCCAAAGTTCTAGAGTATGACTTGAAGGCAAAACTTCTTGCCAAGGAAATAGAGTACATGAAGGTAAATCAAAAACAGGTTACGGATAACTTTAGTGAAGCAGAAATTAATAGTCGTCTGCTGGAGAAGAAAGTTAAAGAAAAAGAATGGGAGATTGCTGATCTTAAGGCCATGAAAGATGCTAAGATTGAAGATCTAAATGTTCAGCTAAAGCAGTATGAGGTCAACATGAAAAGGAAGGAAGATGCCTATGAAAATAAACATGCTGAGATGGATAGATGTTTACGAGAAAGAGAAGAAGCCTTATCTAACTTAAAAACAGCTTACAATGAAAGAGAACAAATATTAAATGGTGACATTCGAAATTTACAATCAAAGCTTGAATCTGCAGAAATCCAAATCAGACAATTACAGTGGACTAATCAAGATCTAGCAAAAGAAAAAGAAATTCAAACCCAAAATTTATCTGAAGAGTTGAACTGTCTTCAGGAAAAATGGAATAAAAATCTAGCAGACATGTCAGCAAGTCAAGTTTCTAGGGACCTTGAAATGCACTGTCTGCGTGAAAATGACAGTAAATTAAAAACGGAGATCTTACAAAAGGGGCATGAAATCGAGAAATATAAAAAGGAGCTAGCTGAAGCCTCAGAGAGAGAAGCTGCATTAATAAGAAGTAAGACCCAGTTAGAGTTGGATTGGCAGAACAGATTCGAAGAAGCTGTAAGCTCACAGTATGGGAAGTCTGAAGACTTAATGAAAAAAATGGTTACAGCGAAATATGAGATGGAGAGCGGACAATCACAAGAAATAAAACAACTGATACAGCAAAATCATAATCTGAAAGAGGTCATCAGTCAAATGAAACAACAAATGCAAATGCTGGGATACACGAATGGTAGTCAAAGAAACACCAACAACAAAGACTACACCAAGAGTCTTGAAGAACAAATACTTAATCTCAAACAGCAGATCAGGCAACTACAAGATCACCATGTTCAGGATATTTCATTTAATGTTTCAAACGATTTAGACAGTGAAATCTTACAGTCACCAGAAGTTAGAGACAATATTATGGTGAAAGACTACATTCGGTCACTGAATGAACAAATACGCATTCTGAAAAGTGAGAAATCAGAATATAATGTCAAATTTAAAAAATTGGAATCCAGACTGGACAACATTGAAACTTCTTCAATGACTTCGAAAATAATGCCACAAGAAGACTTGATAATTGAACAATTACAAGGTGAGGATATAAATCTGAAGAAAGGAATTCCTGAGTCTCACAATTTCTCACAATCTGATGTTGATAAACATGATTTACAGAGAAAACTTAGAAAGGCTGTAAAACATATTACACAGATAGCTAAAGAAAAACAACAACTGATCGAGGTAGGCAATCGATTACGAGGAGAATTGAAAAAAGCTGGTATAACACAAACCACTCCTGCCGTGTCTACAGGTTATGCTACTAATCAAGTACCGTTTAATCAATTATCAAATTCTCTAACCTCACACAACCCTTCTCGAGTGACTCAAGAATCATTAAATAAACTAAACCAGCTGGAAAAGCTTCAATATCAACTAACTAAACAAGAATTACAATTCGCTCAGAATTTTTCCCCACCTAGGGTTACAGACAGTGTACAGTCTTCCGAAGTATATTATGGACGTCCTTCCATTCTAAAAAAATCATTGTCTTCCCAAGAGGTTAACAAAAGTGCTGAGACAAATGGTAGCCATTATGATGTAGAACCTGTGTTGTCAAGTGTTCAGTCGATGGGAGGAGAATCAATACAAGAAGTCTGGAGGATGTTGGATGATGGTGCTAGTCCGATACCTAGTGTAAGGACCCCTAGATTTTTATCAAACCAATCTAAGCCAGATGTCAAAGAGAGACCTGATCCAAATAGAGAATTAACAGTAGAGGGGAAGAAAGCAGAACTGAAGTTAGAAGAGAAACGAGCACAAAGTAGACAATTTACAATTTCACAAACAAACAAATTAAAACCGTCCAAAAAACCTCAAGTGAGAAACTATAATATGAGGTAACAAAAGGGAATATTGTGTATAAAATTATTTAATCTATGTGTCCAGTAGTGTGTAACTTTGGATCTGATATTGGCAAAATATGGAAATTAGAATATAAGCTTATTCTATTTCCTCAGGTCAGTGACTTAGTATACATGTGGCATAAACAGTAGGTACAGTGCATTTGCAGTAGTGTCCAAAATAATTTTTCGTCTGTTATTTACAAGTCTTCATCATAATGTATCAGAACTGAGAGTATAATCAACAGAATATAATTATTAATATTTTTTGCCATTTTATTGCGAGTGACATTTCTGCAAAGCCATGAATGAAATCTATGATACATGTACTTACTACTCAGTCACTCGCCATAGTTCTTTATGGCGGGGGGGGGGGGGGGGATGGTCGAATGGTTATCACTGAATTAGCACATAGCACATTCACGCTGTATCACTGAGTTAACTGGTGTGGTTTCGATTCCCCGGCTGTACGTGACAATGATTGGAGTCGCCTGTTCAACCTCGTGGGTTTTCTCCGGGTCCTCCAGTTCCCACACACTGCTAAAAACCTAGTTTGGGTTGAGTGGACGTTAAACCCCATTTCTCTCTTTTTTTATGACCAACAACACTGTGTAACCCGGGTATCATTTAATCTTATGTATTTAGCGCTAATTTCTTTTCATATTCATTTAATATTAAATCTTTGTTTAAGAATTTGTAAAAATCATTTAAAATCACCCAAAATCATCTAATTTGTACTTGTGTCCAGTTTAAAGCTAACTGATTAATTTTGATAATGAGTGTCTACTTTACAAGTATTTAATTTCCTGACTACTGTTGAAAAATTGATCACTATACATCAACAATCAATTTGGATATTCATATCTTAACAGTGATCGAGAAATTAAATGCCTTTAAATTGGTGGAGTCGTTATTTAAATTAAATGGTCAGCTTTAAACTGAACACAAGTACAAATTGGATGATTATCGGTGATTTTAAATGATTATTCCAAATTTTTAATGAAAGATTTGCAATTAAAAAAATGTGAAATAAATTAGTGCTAGATACACAAGATTAAATGATACCCGGGTTACAGTGCAATGTCCAGTTTTTCTTTTGTCTGTGTGTTTGTCTTCTGGGTTTTTAGTTAATTATTTTAACAGATCCCACCCTCATCCTTGTTCTATTGCACCGTGATCAGAGCAATCTTATAAGATGATAAATTGCTTAATTTGCATTTAGGGAATGTTTAACAAGGTTTAAATTTGAACTCTTGAGTTTCTCTACAAGATTTCACTGTAGCAGAGGCTTTTTATGCAGTTTACTATTTGGCAACAATATTTCAACCAGTCGCTTTTTGAGGGTGGTTTTCTGGGTCAGGGGAAAGAACTACAAACAAGTCCTAATTTTTTCCCTATACTAAACAATCCCACCAAGTTGAGAAAAAAAAAAAAAAAAAAAAAAAAAAACCTGTAACAATTTTAGTGACAATGGCAGTAACTCTGAAAAATTAATTGCCTGAGTTTGTAAATCGGCTAAAGGATAGCCCATGAATCCCAGGAAGAGTAAGTATTTGGTGCTGCAAAAATCTGTTGCACGACCCTGGATTTCGATACAGTTCCTTCATAAAACTAGCTTAACAATCTCTGCCGATGATTTGAAGTGGGCCGTGACTGTGAAAACACTTTCAAGGCATAAAACCATCCACAAGGAACCAAGAAAAAAATCTATTCATCACAATGCAACTACATACTATTCTTTATGAAGCGTTTAATTGTATCTTCCACATCCAATATCACATACATATATACCACAAAATTTACATGATCATATAATAACTTCTGGATTATCTTAATACAACTCTTTAGTTATATATACATGATTTACAATATAAATGTATAACCATATTACATATAGTTAATGGCAAATTTTTAAAATCTAATTCTGGGTACATATTAATCAATCTAAAACAATTATTTACAGTTGTAATATGTAGGCAAAATTTCAAAGGTGTAAGCTTATGTAACCCCAAAATATAAAATCAAACTAAAACCAACAAACAATTTCAGAGATTATATTAACATGAATTATAACTTTCTATGTGTATTGGTGTACAATATCTTATGTTCTACTGTACAGAACAAGAATTAATCTGTCAGCGATTTGTCATATAACGAACAATCGGTTGTCTGTGGTAAATAAAACAACCAAACAGAACATCAGTGATGTCTCATTAGTTAATGAACTGGCCTCCTGTCCATAGAAATACTAGTTATCACATGATACGGTACTAATATTTTATTATACACTGGACCGAGAGATCAGAATTCAAATCTAATGCAGAATTTTCCATGACCGATTGACATCTCAAAGGTTTCACTTATTGACGTGACCTGCCGATTTATGCCATGGGCTTACTGAATGTCACAATATTATCCAGCGACATAATTTCATCCAGATCTTGACAGTAAATTTGTGGTTTGACCAAATTAATATTTACACAAAGAAAGGAAATAATACATAATTAAAACACATGTGGACTAGATTTTATGTGTGCTACTGGCAGACAATCTATTATCCAGAAACCATCATGGTTGATAAAAGTCTTTCATCACCATATAACCATAAACATAAACATGGTGGAAAATTCTCAAGCACAACAGAACATCTGTGACCAGAATCAGCCACAATATGGGTGTTCATCAAATCATTGGTGCAACAGCAAATCATTGGTGCAACTTCTCCTTGCTGCATGCGATGATTGGCTAACCTTTACTTTATGATAAATTAAAGTTCAACAAAATACAAGTCACTGAAGATCAGATAACAGATATTGAAGCAAGTTTTTTGACTGGACTGTCCAATCAAGGAATTGTAAGTCACAGGTATGATGGAATGAAATGATTTTAGTGAGGATAACAAAATATGATACAGCAAATTTCATTTAATTCAATACACTACGACCACATTATTCATGTTCTGCTGATGATCGGTCAAACATCAGGAGAGGATCCAATCGGAGGGTTTCTTCATAGGACTCTAAAAAGCATGGAGATGCGTTTCGAACAATTTTGCTCATGCAGTTATGTTTTCTGTCTCGCTAGCTTTCTTGCACAACAATGGCCGATGATGCACAGAACATAATTAAGGCATAGTAGTATGTAGCCATACATACTGTACACATTTATATCAAACTCCTGTAATATTAATTTTCTGAAGAATATTAATCAATTTACTAATCATAATGCAGTGTGAAATATTACAAAATCTGTTGTTACAATATTATATAATTAAATACTGAAACTCTGTTGTATACCATGTACACTGTTTTGGGTTAAAAAAAAACTGCAAGCAAGCAATTCTATCTCACAGGCTTGAAGACAAAACTGCTATTACTTTTAGCAAATTAGTCTTGAAAAAAAAGTAAAGCCTGATAAAACGACATTGATAACAATAACAAATATATCACATTGTAAAACATACAAAATCAAACTGAAAGACAATAAAAATCATAATTTAAAAAATGAGGACTAAATAAGTATGGAATACTGTTCTATAGCAGACTATAACCATAATCAGTTTCAAAGTAAATTTGTTATCCAATAGTTTTAGTAAAAATAAATGAGGTCTACTTTGTAATATCAGGTACACAATCCAAAGTAATTTTATTAAAGATACATTATGTAAGATTTAGATAAAGAGCTGGCCATTCTTGATATTATAGTTCAAAAATAATTAATGCAAAATGAATATATTGAGAATTTCATTCAAATTACTTTATTCTGAGCCAAGTTATCACTGTTTACAGTTTTGACAAGATGTGTGCATGGATTGTTTATTACCATAACCATGGTACTGGTATATTCGAGTCTTAGCCTCACTTCTCGATTTTTAAATTAAATTATCATTAAATGGCTGAACCATTCTAATCTACTTAAAATCAGAGCAATCTCTTTGGTTTGTTTATTAAAGAGAGGGTGCTGTAGTTGCCATATGATAACTGGACATAACTGTCAATTTTTAACCTAAAAGTTAATCAACTACAGTTTGTTTTTAATGTTTATGTTACTCTTAAGATTGGCTGAATAGCTTCTGAGATATGTGTGTCTTAAAGATGCATTATTTAAGGTTTAGATAAAGAGCTGGTTGTTTTTGCTACATGTATAATAGTTCAAAAATAGATAATGAAAAATGAACCTATTGAATATTTCATTCAAAATCAAATTACTTTATTTTGAGCAAAGTTATGGGTGGTGTAAGATGTAGCAGAGATTGTTTATTATCGTAGCAATGGTACTGGACAAATAAGACTTAGTCTCATTTGTCCCTTTTATCGTTAAATTATTAAATGTTGCAGGCGTCCTAATCCATTTAAATCTCTGCCATCAGACAGTCTAGAGAGTTGATTATAGACCTGTCATGTTAATAAATGTCTAAATAATAGTTTATATAACATTTGAAGGCACAATAAAGACATGCAATAGGCAGCTTTAGCTCTTACATAATGCATCTTTAATTATGATGGTAAAAAATTTATGATGGCCACCATAATCATAGATACAGATTTCTGAAACAGCAAAACTTTTTGTACAAAAATTTGCTTGGGTATACGTGTCATATATATATATGAAATCAAATTCTGAAAGTCAATTATAGCAAAATATTGTCTGAAGGAACTATCCCCTTAAAATGTTTCTATCTTTGTTATCCAGCCACTTTTATTATCTCTGGAACAGAAAAATCAAAACCTACTGAAACTAATATCACTCAGACTGTTGGGAAGACTTCAGTCTTAAAACTAAAAACAAAAAAACTTGTATATAGTACACTAATGCTGTATAAAACATGAGAAATTGATTAAGGATTTCTTACATATATTCATTTGAAAGATCTATAATCTTAATATGGGCAATAGAGTATTTTATGGACAATGTAAATTCAGTAAAATTTGATTCTTATGTTGCCATTAATTCATCTAAGGCCTTGTCTCTGTCTGCGTTATGTTTAATCAAAGCTTCTCGGATTTTATCCGCATGAAATCCTAGTTCTTGGAATTGTGAGTAACTATCGATGTAGTTTCTAGCCTGAAAGTCACAAAATTATTTATTAAACCACAAAAATAACATCTCAACACTTTACATATAAAAATTATATTAGTGTATTTAAATTAGATTGAAAAGGTGATTTTGAGATTATGACTATACATATCATGTTTTTAGTTAATTTCCCACTAGATTTCATCATTCAGTTTACAAGGATAAGCCAAATTCAGACATTACATGGCCAAAGCTAATGCCATATCTTTTTTAACTCAACTTCCAACTTTTATATTTCGTGTTAGGATGGCAAGATCACTGCAGACTCAACACCATTTATTTTTCCCAAACATATGCCAATTTGTTTCCAAGGCGACCAATGGAGGTGTGACAACTATTGAAAGAATTAAAATGAAATCCTCGTTTCATTTTGTTTAATAAAACTTTCTAATTCTGAATGGTGGGTTCTTAAAATTCCCATGCTACTACAATATTTATAGAATCAATTCCCAATAAACTGTTTTGGTAACCATTTTGTATAGTTAAACATGAAGTTGTTTGGGGTTTTTCAGAGACCCAGTGATAATGGGGATTTCTCCTTTAAGTTAGTAAATATATGAAATAAATTCAATTAGCTTTAAAAAAAAAAAAGACACCCACCTTGTCAATATTATTTTCAAATAAGAAAAGAGCTGATTCTGATTTAATTGGATGATAGCCTTTACCTACTAAATTATCCACATGACACAGATGATCTATTACCTGTAATTAATAAATATAGTGGTAAAAATTAAAACATGAAATACATATCACTGCACTAAAAAAAAAACCAGACAGGAGCTATCCCAACTCTGTCCCAAGCTTACTGTCAAACTGTGAATGGAAAGATAACTTTGTGAAATACATTTTGAATTTACAAGCAGAGACCCATCTAAAGATTTTAGCAAAGATTACCATATATCCCATTTATATTGTATGCAAAGATGTGGAATGATAAGACAAATTTTCAATTCATTATATCTTTGTAAATAATTAACAGAATTGAACCATTTATGGATCGATATTCCGTCTTCATTAGCCCAGTATAGGAGCAGAACAGTAGGACGTTAAACCCCATTTCATTTCATTTCCTTTTAGAGATTCAACTTCACAATATTGTAGTTTGCAACAGTTTTCTCAATCCCTTAAATGATGCTCAGATACTTAATTATCTTTTAGTTAATATGCAGACAGAATACCTTTCAAAATAAATAGGTGTCAATGATTACAATGTACATACAGCCCTATGTTTATTTTGTCCATATCATTTGAAAAATATGTTGTAGTCCATTCCAGAGATAATGTTAATCAATAATTGAAATGATCAACCAAAATTGATCAAGTCGTTTCGAAAAGAGGTGTGTGGAAGTTGTCATTTGCAAACAAAGCAATGTCCTATGTGGTATTCAATTGTTTCAACATTATATAAGAACTTTATTTCGGTAAATAAATAGAGGTGAGTTGCATACTCCCTAAATCTAACACTGTTATAATATTTATCGTTTGTTATACCTTTACTAAGAATCAGTTAGCATGATTAGAGGTGACCAGCAAGTATAATGATCAACAAGCGGTTGCCATACAAGACATGCCCCACATTTTGCAAGATAGATGGACAAAAAAAATTTTTTTTCGTACAATTAGGGGCCATAATCCAGGAAGTTAAGGCCGACTTGTGTCAATATCAAAAGGAACCAAGATCGTTGGGATATAAACATATATTTTAAGTTTCATCAAAATCAGATAAAAATTGTGACCTCTAGAGTCTCCACAATCTTGGTATTATATGCTTATTATACTATTTGTGTAAAGGGGAGCGGTCATTTTGTCAGTCTCAATCTGATTGGTTCAAAAGGAACCAAGATCTTTGGGATATAAACATACATTTTAAGTTTCATCGAAATCAGATAAAAATTTTGACCTCTAGAATGTCCACAAGCTAAAAATGTGATATTTCATACAATCAGGATTCCATAATCCATGAAGTTACGCTCCGATTCATGCCAATATCGAAAGGAATATAAACCTATATTTCTAGTTTCGTAATCGGATAAAAATTGTGACCTGTAGCTGTAGAGTTTCTGCAAACAAAATGTGAAAGAACAGCCAGACAGATAGGGGCAACAACAATATACATTCACATGAAAATGTGCCTATATAAAAAAATATATTATATAAAAAGGTGTACCTCTTTTTCATCTTGTCCAAGTTTAGCTACTGCTCTAGAAACTCTAGCACGAGGAAATCCCATTAAACCAAACTTTCTAACAAACTGTTGGTCTGGTAAAGATAAAGCTGAATAGGGATCAGTTTCTGGTGGTGACTTGGGAGGGCAGATATCATCTTTTACAGAAGTCACTGGTTTGGGTGAAGGTATGGGTTGAGTGCAGAAAATAGAGTCTGGTACTGAGGAGGATACTGGATTGGGTTTTGAGGAGGGAATGGGTGGTAAAGGCTTTCTAATATTTATATTCTGAAATAGAAGACATTTGTTTTATAAATACATCAGTAAGTTAAGCTTTTATAGTCATAAAATATTGTTTGTTTACACAAAAAAAAAGTCTGACTATCGACTATCTTCTTTAGCAAGTCATGAATTCCTGTTACTTTGTGTTTGCGATGTCAACACAGGCCTAGCTGGAATGAACTGCATTTTCTGTGTAAAAATTTATAAAAGCTTTAACAAGCTATCAATTAAAAGAAGATCAAACAGGGCCATAGATAACCACAGGATTTTACAACAAATATTTAAATATTAAGTAAGAAAAAGCCCCCTGGGCTATTAGCGTTCTAGTTAAACACAAGACTTGCTATACAAGAGGCAATCAAATTTACTCAGATTAGATTAATGGAGATATTTTCCAAATTGTTTGGAGCTTATATAATTACTTCAGCAAATAATTAAAAAAATCTTCCTTCTCAGTTTCAATAATATTTATTTGTGACTAAACTGCACATTAATGTTTTTAAAGGTTATTAACTTGGGTTGAACTGATCTGTTAATTCAGATTAACAAATTAACATTTTTACTTTTTACCCAAATCAAATAGATTTAGTTATTTTCAAATATCAACAATAATTTAAACAATCACAATATTTACCTCATATATGGGTGCCTGTTGAACAGATCGCTGTGGAATTGGAGGAGGAGTGTGTGACAATGAAAACCTTGCTGACTCAACATGTTCTGGTGACTCAGATAAATCAGGATTACTTTTAGCACTACGTAGCCTTACATTCTCATATAGTGGTTGATTAGATAACACATCTGTATGGTTTGGTGGGGAATTTGAATATATAACATCAGTTTGTGAGTTAAGAGTTGTAATTTGTTGGTTTACACCATTCAGTCCATTTAATGTAGGTTTTAAACCTGCTTGTGACAAGGATGGTAATACAGGTTTATATAGTCCACTATTTACCATATGTGATGGTAAGTTACCACCCAAATTTGCAACACCTGGTGTAGGTTTGTTCTGACTAGTATCACATTTATCATTAGAAAACATAACACGACTTTGACTCATATCCACTTTCAGACTAACATAATCGCCTTCATCCACATGAGGAATCACATTCGGCACCATGCCATTACAAGATGTTCTAGGTTTGGCTACAGGAGTTTTAAGTTCTCCATCCGATGATGTTATTTCCTCATTCTTCTCCACTGAATTATTTGAAGTGTTGGTATTATCACTGGCTTTAACATTAAAAGCTTCTGTGTCTTGAAATAAGTTTTTTAATTCTTCCATTTCATTGAGTGCCTGTAAATCCAGGTTTTCAAAAGCATCTGTCTCCTTTTCAAACCATGTCAAATCTATAGAAGATGTTTTGTTTGTGGCACTATCAGCAGACGATTGTGAAGTTGAGTTTGAATAAATTGGTGTAGGTGTTAAAATGCTATCAAAATTTGGTCTTGTCAGTGGATTTACAACCATTTGTGACTGAACTGAAAATTCCTGATCAGACTCAGACTCATCACTCGAGTCTGCTTTCGTTGCTTGAGCAAATTCTTCGATTTCTTTAGCACTACGTTCTTCTGCTTCAATTTTTTGTCGTCTGCGAGTTTCTTCTTTAGCTCTTATCCAGGCAAGAACACCCTCTTCTGTTTCAAAGGAATACTGAAGTAGAAAATACATTTAAGTCATTAGAATTAATTATTGGGTCAATTCACCTTTAACATACATGTATTTCTATTTTAAAATCTTAATTAGGATTATGATCCAATTCAACTTTAATATGACTGTGGTTCTGGTGACCCCAGATGGTTATCATTATGTGGGCAAGGGACTATGTTCTACATGTAAATTAATTGCAAGTTGAAGTTTTGAGATGAATGTATCAAGTCCTAGAGAAAGTCTGTTTTAATGTTCGCACCGAGTGGAAGATAACTAATCAGAAACACCACTTTACCATAGTAAGTGTACATGTAGCAATGGACATGGTAAATAAGCTGATAATATTAATACTTATAACCATTGCTATAGGAATATGGTCTGTACATACCAGCCTTCTGAGTTGTCTCAAATAAATTTATGGACAAAGGAAAAGACTAAAATGGAGTGCAAGTTTTTGTCAGCATAACACTTTTGTCACTTTAATTAAGACAACTAAATATATGGTAATTTATATTTATATGATTTTGTGTGTAAGGCAAGACAGGCAGAATTCTGTCCAGACAGCAATGGGTGTTCCACTATTCAAATAAATACACAATTTCTTACTTCTTCATTTAGTTTCTGACATGTTGAAGGTAGGAGTAATTCTGGTGGTATTTTGATCTTAAAAAGATAAAAGAAAAAATATACATACATACATACATACATTATGTTTACAGAGAGGTAAGGGTAATCATTTTATTATTTTCTAATTTTTAAGTTGGTTCATCTTACTTATAAACAAATTGTACAAACACTACTAACCATAATCGGATTCAGAATGCTTGTATGAAATTAGAAATATTCTTAGAATAAATTCATTTCTTTTGTTTTTTTAAACTCACTCATAATTATAACAATAAACAAGATCAGTAGATCTGGGGAATTACCTTTTCTGGGGGTCTGAACTTGGGACCAAGTTTAAACGGTACTCCATCCAGGCAGGAATGACTTGAACCCAAACCTGAAAAATAAATTTATATTTCATTATAGAAGTAGTCTTCCATAGTGAAATACATGTATATCACACTTATCATGATAGCAGATTTTTTAATGTCTAATGTCTTGCCTTTCAGTTTCAATAATAATCATTTTTTACTAAACTGCACATTAATGTTTTTAAAGGTTATAAACCTATTTGATATAGTTAAAAAAATATATAGTTGAATTGGGTTGAACTGATCTGTTAATTCAAATACTGATGGAATGCAATCAATAAAATTAAATGAAGGGAAGTCGCCAGTTTCTTTACTTATTCTAGTTTCTCTTCTGGCTTGATTGTTGATTGTGGGACTCAAAATCAGTTAAATCGCAACACTTGCTCTATATCCATGGACCTAAAATTTTGTATGTTGACATATGTCAACTTTTTAATGTCTAAATGTTTAAGGATCATTTTGGATCAACTGAAGCAGATCAATTGAACATTGAGAACCAGATTTGTGTTAATGCAATGACGTTGCATGGCTTGAGTGTCTGCTATAGTAGACTAACAAATTATTGACATTAGATTTTGACCGCTTGTGCCAACATTACACTATAGTTGTTATGGCCTCTGTAGGCTGTTGTTGATTTTCTTGTGTCAGTAAATTATGCCAAAAGTCAATAGCACATTTCAGTTGCATTATGGTAAGAATAACTCACCTTCAAAAGAATTTAGTGATGTCCCATCAGCCATATCTGAAAGACAAAATGTATAATATGACACTACTGTCAACCATGTGTTACTTTTTCATTTTTTTCAGTCTAACATTTAATTAGTTAGATATTAGTATTATAATTCTAGTAAAATACAAAATAAATTGAGTATGAGATACAAACCTGTCAATATGAACTTTATATTCTAGATGTTGCTTTATTGATGAATATATCCATTTTATCTATATGAGAAAAAGAATAACAGTCAATTCTCCCCACCAAAAAAAAAACATTTCATTGATTTCATCCAGGGTATTTTCATCCTACAATTCTTTAATACCAGTACTATTATTATTATTTAACACTATAACATAACTTCTGATATCATTTTGTATCATCAAAGCTTCGTATAAAATTAATTACAAAAATTATATTATATTATTGAATAATTATGTCGAACTAGGATGAAACTACATGTACCCACGATGTACAATTTCATGAGAACATATCTTATTAATGTACAGTATAACAATTAACCAACCAAACTTTTGTCTTCACATAATGATTAGGCCTACCTCACACCCGTAGCTTTCTTATCTTCTTATTAATAAACTATTTGTACAGTCTAATTTACATTTAGTAGTTACTGTTTCAATATTAAAATATAAGACTACAGGATAGGCTCTGATATTCACAGTTTTTTGTTATATTTATAAATAATCATCATCTCAAGTCAATGACTCAGGCACAAAAATGGGTCGATTAGTTAAATTTAAACATAATCAAATATAGCATCTACTGGTTTGGTTACTCATTGTGGAATTACTGAGCAATAAAAAAAGAAACCTGAGTCACTTATGGCAGAAAATAATAAAATAAATAGGTGAAATATCAGACTTATTATTTTAAGACCCACTATCAGACTAGGCCTAGGCCCTAGTTTCGTAAGGTTTTATAATTTTAGTTCCTCACTCATTCAAAGCCTTTTTATACCAAACAGTCAAATGGACAATGCCAACTATATTGCGGCAAATGGTTCAGTAATCAATGTGTATAAATAGATTATTCTTTGAAAATCTATATTACCAATAACATGGAACAACAATATTATTATTGAACAGAGTTTTCTTCTTTCATGGCTATCTTGTCATCCATTTTGATGTATTTACTTTGACGTCACTTCCAAAATAAAAATAGACGAAATGTATGGAAGGCCGGCGGTATCACGGTGTGGCATGCTTCTCCACAATCTTTTTCACAGAGGACTACGAAAGTCTTCTAGTATTCTAGTTCAATGTTCTAGCGAATATTCACTGCTGATCAGTGTGGCTTCTCCGGGGCAATGGGCACTCGGCAAACCTCGGCAGATTCCGATACCCTACGTCTAGATGTATGGTACTGGAATCTGCGGAGGTTTGCCGTGTGGGGCAATGGGTTGGTTTGATTCACGGGCGGGGATATGTCTTTTACCACCAAAGGCATTTTAGTTCCTACCGAATTGTTACTAAATGACCCCAGACAGTACATAAGTATAAACGTGACGCAATGGGGTGGCGGGACATTTGGCAGAGGATAAGATAACATAGATAGATAGATAATCCTGCCATATTTCAGGAAATAAACAGACGATAAGATTAAATTAAAAAGTTTTAAATATACTGATCGATCATGAGCATTTCATTGAGTATAAGATCGGACTTATTGAGATAATTAAATGCAAAACGTAACTCAGATACGGTGTCTTTATTAGTTTCATCATTTATAGTCAATGCAGATTTCATGGAAGGAGTGTTAATTTCAATTTCATTGATATCTGATTTTGGGATAGAAATAAAATCAGTTAGTAAAATGGTTTTCCCAGCACTTAGTAGATATACAACCATTTTCGTCTTTTACTTTAGGATTATCATTTACAGGGGAATTAAAAAGTTTCCAATACTCTTTAGGATTACGCGATTGAAATAAATAAAAGATGAAATAAAATGTCAAATAAATTTCAATTCTGTCAGTTGGATTCGCAATGAGATTACGACGTGCTGACATCATTTCCCGTATAAGTCGCAAGTTTTGTCAAACCATTTATTTGAACGCGTTCTTTTCTTTTTCATTTCAACCAATGTAATGCTTATCCTAGATGCGTCGATGGGTATTTCTGACAGTACCAAAGTAACTCAACTACATCATTGTCATTGGTTATGTCAAAATTAGTGATCATAAAGTTATTAAGAGCAGATTTATATTTAGTTTTTTGAAGTTCTGAGATAAATATATTATCAGAATTATTTTTCCAAATAAATTTGTTTTGGCGAGATCCAACTTTACCCTTATTAGAATTATTTATTTGAACTTCCACTCGACCGGTCTGCTGGTTTGTTATTACCATTATTCATTAGCACTTGTTCAGTCGGATATAGTTGTATATTGCAAGACACCACACAGAGATCAGTTATGTCAGTTAAAGGGCTATCACGCATAAGATTTGAATGGATACAGAAGAGACAGGTTAAAATATAATCTACTGGGCTAAAACCGGTTGTAATAAATACAGGTACAGGCACCCAAAAGATCATCAAAATATCTACCATTTAGTATTCAAACACTAGTATTAGTATTGCACAAGTGAATTAATTCATTACCACAGGGATGCACCTTTTTTCCATATTATTAATTCTAGACTTAACAATTCAATATTTCTGATATTGACCAGCAGATCGCATATTAGATATGGAAAGGGTTTATTTTGGAAGAGTGAGCAGGTATAAGGACGTCCTTAAAAAATCTGGTCTCGTATTAAGTCCCCGCACCTCTAAAATTACCTCACCTTTTTGTTTATATTTCATTATATCATTTTCAATAATATCAAATAGGTTCGTGTGTTAAGATTGCCAAATTGATGAATTTTGTAGTGGAATATATCTTGAGGCAAGGACAATACCTTGTCTGTGCTGTTACTGCTGTAGAATTACTTTTGAGATTTTTAGCCAGAACATGTCCCTATCCTTTAAGTCTACCACTGTAATCCACGCTGCCAACTTGTTCTTTACATAGATCTTTGGGATATGGCAACCCGATCTTGGACCTGTTCTACTGAAAGTAAATCCAGTAAACCTGGGAAAAATGTCATATAAATAACTTCACATCGATCTGTTCTTGACTACCAAGCTTCAGTAATGTCATGACAATGGAAGAAAACTGAAAGTACTTGTACACTAGTGGTTCCCAAACTTTGTGTATCATGCCCCCCTCAACATTGCAAATTATTATGCGCCCTGCTTTGACATGAAAACAAATTGAATTTTGTAAAAGTATAATATAATATGTACAAAGCTGTAAACAAATGGTCGTCGAGGTGGTGCCAGATGCACGATAAGAGGAGGGAAGGCATGCGTTTCCGACCAAATAAATATTTTTGTGGGAATGCATCTTTAAACGCAGGCCTTTAATATATAATATTATAACGAATGACTATCTACAGATCTTGTCATAGGCGGTGACAACAAAATTGAGCGTGTAGGTGAACTCCGGTCATTATAAGTGGATTTAGTTGAATCATCGGTATAATGTCTTTCCGTGACAAATCAGTTTTGTTGTCGGTATAAAGGGACTCGTTTTGCCAAATTGCCATAGCGTTCAAATGACAAAAATGCGTCTTTTTTTGGAAATTCGTTCAAATTCAGAAATGTACGTGCAGACTAACTGTCTACACCATCCTATTTATAACGAAAAAAAACCAAACAATAACACATTTTTGTTTGATTGCCCACCACTTCCTGCCTGTTTATTGGGATAGGGTAGGAGATTTTCATAGAAAAGGCAGAAGGTAACAAATTGTAGGTCTATGAAATTTTTGAAATTTTGCGAAATTTTATAATTTCACAATTTCACGAGTTTAGGCCAATAATAGGTCTAAAAACAGTAAACTCTTTCTAGACATTTTTATCGACCACTGATTAAACAAGGTGATTTGCATTTAATCAAATTTTGATCTTTAAAACGTCCATCTAATTCATATTAATTAATTACCCTATAATCAGCGAATTTATCAACACCGATTTCCGAAGCGATTAGGCTAATCTCGGGGTGCTAGGCCTATTTGTCGATTTGATCGGGTAATCGCGTGGGGTTTTTTTTTTTTTGGGGGGGGGGGGGGGCAACTATGTCGCGCACAAGAATTGTTTACAGCTAATCGGTGCATTTAACAAACCCCGAAGAGCTTTGAATTGGACTATACTGTCACATTGGTCTCTACTAAATTCCAAACGATTTGGCTAGTTGTTGTTAGTTGTATTTTACGTCCGCTTCCACCGAGGTGATGTCGCAGATTTGGCTAGTCAATAAAACCGCCTTATATCTGCGACCCCACTTAGTTTCCATACAGACAAATTATCCTTTATTAACTCCCTTTACAACGGAAATCCAGAGGTGTGGAAAAGGACTTTTATTTTTGTCGAACTACTTAAACTTTTTATTACGTTTAAAATGAATACATTGAATGGAAACAACGTATATTATTCAACATTAGGTAGCCAATATTTCTGTTGTAATTTTGCTTCTGGAATATCACTGTTGAGGGACACTCGGAATGACAGCACTGCGACTGTGACGGAAGTCGGAAAATATGCGAAGTGGACATTGTCAAACTCATGCCATTTCATCCACTTTTATTGTACTAAAACGTCAAATGTGGCATTGAGGAGGACAGCGCCTGTATGAATATTAAAATTATAATATAAATAAATTAGACCTAATTCATATATATAATAATACCCTAATAGAAATATGATCAAAATGAACAAGGGGCTGGAATAGAATGCGGTTTAGACTTTAACATCACCATACTAATACTTTGGTCATTATGAGAATAACTAACACATAATTATAATATTCATTTCAGCATGCTATGTGGGTGTGCAAGAGACTTTATCTCGATGTCATGTGCCTTTTTTTTTCCAAACGGAAAGTCATGTGACGTGGTACAAACGTGTACCGGACATTCACTTGTTCAATTAAGTACATTCAATATGCCAAGTCTTTTAGTGAGTTTATGGTACCGTACATAACATTGCCTTGCCAGCCAATATATATGTATATTTATTGTCCCTCGCCTTTCGAAGAAAGCAGGGGACTATTAAAATGGGTCTGTCCGTCCGTCTGTCTGTCAGTCACACTTTTTGGGCAACAATACTCTCCTAAGATGAGCATCGTTATCTTAGGTTAAGCAGAGATAAGTGTGCATGATGAAACTTGGTTTATAGTTTCATTATAGGGCATGTAATTCCACGGCAGAAAATAAATTATGCCAAAAAAGAAAATTGATGTATATGAACCAATTTTGTGTTATTTAAGTTCAGAAATGATGCCAGTCAATGAATCTGGTCGAGTTAATTATACGCAAATGCTTTGGTAAAAAGAAACTTATGTCAAAGTCAAAACTTATTTTTCTTACTTTTGATTAAAATTTTTGCAATTTAAATATTTAGGACAGCATCAGTTTATTTTTACATAGAAAATATTTAATATTTGGTTTTTTAACAAAGAAGTACATCTATTTCATCATAAACAACCATTTATATCATATTCTTTACGTCAATTCTGTATACAACAGTTTAAAATATACCCCGATTTACACTGTAATTCCGTTACCATACCTATCGAAAAGATTCAATCATTTTTGATTGCCAAATTTTATAAGTTAGTGTTTCCAAATTTTCTAATTACTAATTGCACAGATATAAGAAAGGTAAGAATCGGGCATCTGCATTAAGTGCTTTTCTTGGAACTGCGGTAACGGAATACAAATCTAAGCGGTTCATTATTTCTATTGTTCTAATAACAAAATTATATATAATTTACAGGATAAACTTAAAAGCAACACTTTATTTAAAATTTATACAACATTAGACTCATTTATGCCAACTCTTTTCAGTAAAGCAAACCACTAATCCTTTTTCTGAACATGAAATGCAAAAAGTGACTAACAACTGTACCAAAATTAAAGTTATCTTAGTGATCACCCATGTCTAAGCAAGGTGTGGTTTCAATGTGTATTACATTGATATATCATATTAATATCTTTATTCATATCAAATTTGCATCTTTGCAACAGTGTTGCAACATTGCTGAGACTCAAGTTCTTTCATGCTGTCAGAACCTGACAGTACCCGACCTTCTATTATTATTCCGCAAACGCTAATATCTTATTAAAATAATTAAATCTAGTGTTTATTAGTTTTGAAACTTATTTTTGTTAATAATTTGATTATACTGATATAGTAGTACCATTTTCATGCTTTAATAACTAGTATATCACTGCCTTGACTAAGTTTGATAATAAGCATTTTCTGCTCAGGGTAAGCAGAGTGATAAGCAAATTGATTGGTCAAGACTTCTGGAGCTCAAAAACTTTGATTCTAATTGAGTGAGAATGGTGAAACTTTGTGTATAGTGTCATTAAATTTGATGATGAGCATTTTCAGCTTAGGCTAAGTAGAGATTTCAATCTAATTGGTTGAGACTTTGGAACACAATACCTCTCCTTCTAATTGAGGTAGAATGTTCAAACTTGGTGTAGATGTCTATTAGGCTAGGTATAGATAATAAGTTTGATTGCTCGATACTTTTCAAAAAAATAAATGTGCAATTAATATGTATCATCTATTTATTTTGGGATTGAAGCGGAGGACATCATCCCCATTGTTGGCTTGTTATTGTTATTATCCATTTATATGTTGCAAGAATTGACATTATATGTGTAGACTTACACTTTTATTTCAGGAAGACATTTAAAGCATGAACTGGGTGGTGTTGAATTTAAATTATCTGATAAATTAAAACCAGGCAAACAGTTTAAGGTACTGTTTCAGTAGTTTCGTTGATGATAGAAAGCATATTTAAATGCACAAAACAAGCCAGATATATCTCAAAAATCATAATATATACTTTTTATACCCCCACATTTTTATGTGGACATATATTGTCGTCGCCCCTGTCCGTCCATCATTCTGTCCAAAATTTGTTTGTGGACACTCTACAGATCACTATTTTTATTCGATTTTGACGAAACTTGAAATACAGGTTTATCTCGGCTTCTTGCGATATTGGCATGTATTGGACAGTAACTTCATGGATTATGGCCCCTGATTGTACAAAAAATCACATTTTCAGCTTGTGGACACTCTAGAGGTCACTATTTGTATCCAATTTTGATGAACCTTGAAATGTATGTTTATAACCTAAAGATCTCATTCATTTCGATATTCACGCAGATCGGACAGTAACGTCCAGGATTATGGCCCCCGATTGTTCAAAAGCCGCGTTTTTAGCTATTGGTCCCTTTAGAGGTCACAATTTTTAACCAATTTATAAAAACGTTTGAAGATATCACCGTTACACCATAATGATGATAGATTTTGAATTTCGTGAAAATTAGACAGAAACTTCTGGACAAAATGGCCACTCCATGTACGCTAATAGTGTTAAAGTACCTGGTATGTAATATCAAGGTTGTGGACCCTCTAGAGGTCACAATTTTGATCCGATTTTGATGAAACTTAAAATGTGTTTATGTAACAAAGATCTTTGTTCCTTTCAATATTCGTGATTATAGGACTGTACTCCCTTTTTTATACGCCCACATTTTCATGTGGACGTATTATGCCGTCGCCCCTGTCCGTCCGTCCGTCCACAATTGTTTGTGGACTCTCTACAGGTCACAATTCTTATCCGATTTCGACGAAACTTGAAATATAGGTTTATCCACAAAAGATCTCGGCTGCTTTCGATATTGACATGTATCGGATCAAAACTTCATGGATTATGGCCCCTGTTTGTACGAAAAATCACGTTTTTAGCTTGTGGACCCTATAGAGATCACAATTTTTATCCAATTTTGTTGAAACTTGAAATATAAGTTTATAACCCAAAGATCTCGGTTCCTTTCGATATTCGTGCATATCGGACCGTAACTTCCTGAATTATGGCCCCTGATTGTACGAAAAATCACGTTTTTAGCTTGTGGACCCTATAGAAGTCATAATTTTTATCCGATTTAAAAAACCGTTCTGTTATTTCACCGTTACACCCTAAGGATGACTGAGTTCAAATTTCGTGAAAATCGGCCCAAAATTGACAGACAAAATGGCCGCCATTCGTTCCCAAATAGCGTAAGAAAATGGTATATCAAGGTTGTGGACCCTATAGAGGTCACAATTTTTATCCGATTTTGTTGAAACTTGAAATGTAAGTCTATAACCCAAAGAGCTCGGTTCCTTTCGATATTCGCGCATATTGGACCGTAATTTCCTGAATTATGGCCCCTGATTGTACGAAAAATCGCGTTTTTAGCTTGTGGACCCTATAGAGGTCATAATTTTTATCCGATTTAAAAAAACGTATTATTATATCACTGTTACACCCTAAGGACGACTGAGTTTGAATTTTATGAAAATCGGCCCAAAATTGACAGACAAAATGGCCGCCGTTCATTCTCAAATAGCGTAAAAATATGGTATATCAAGGTTGTGGACCCTATAGAGGTCACAATTTTTATCCGATTTTGTTGAAACTTGAAATATAAGTTTATAACCCAAAGATCTCGGTTCCTTTCAATATTTGCCCTGAATTATGGCCCCTGATTGTACGAAAAATCATGTTTTTAGCTTGTGGACCCATTAGAGGTCATAATTTTTATCCGATTTAAAAAAACGTATTATTATATTACCGTTCCACCCTAAGGACAGTTGAGATTGAATTTTGTGAAAATCGCCCCAAAATTGACAGACAAAATGGCCGCCGTTCGTTCTCAAATAGTGTAAAAATATGGTATATCAAGGTTGTGGACCCTATAGAGGTCACAATTTTTATCCGATTTTGTTGAAACTTGAAATGTAAGTTTATAACACAATGATCTCAGTTCCTTTCGATATATGCGCATATCGAATTGTAATTTTCTGAATTATGGCCCTTGATTGTAGGAAAAATCACTTTCTTGTTAGCTTGTTCTCTATCCATCTCTTGAAAATGTGGGCGTATCCTGCCTGGCAGCCGCTGGTTATTGCCTCTGATTGTACAAAAAAATCGTGATTTTAGATTGTGGAACCATTAGAGGTCACAATTTTTATCCAATTTTAAAAATTGTTTTAATATATCACCATTGCCGACCAATGAAGGTTGAGTTTAAATTTCAAGAAAATCAAAACGAAACTGCCCGACAAAATGGCTGCAAATACTGAAATAGTGTAAAGTATGTAATCCGGAGGCTGTGGAACTTCTAGAGGTCACATTTTTTGTTCGATTTTGATGAAACTTAAAATATATGTTTATATCCCAAAGATCTCAGTTCCTTTCGATATTCGCCGATTTCAGGTCATTATTTAAGGATTAAGGCCCCTGATTGTACGATAAATCAGGTTTGTTTTAGCTTGTTCTCTGTCCATCTCTTGCAAAATGTGGGCATATCTTGCATGGCAACCGATTGTTTTTATTGTAGAGAGAGAGAAATGAGGTTTAACATCAAATTGTCACAAACCAGGTCATTTCGGGACTAACACACAGTTTAATTTTATTTCAATAATTCTCTTGCGTGTTGGGGTCTTTAGCAGTGGGAGGAAGCTGGAGACACTGAAGAAAACCCACGAGGTTGGACAGGCAACCGAAACCACACAACTTGACTCAATGACATACCGTATGATTTCATGTGCATACGTTAAACCACTAGACCACCCAACCCTGCCATTTTTAATGGAAAACTGTTGGGTACTTGAGCATTTTCAAGTATAAAAAAAACATCTTGGGGAATGGCCTGGTACAATAAAGATAACTGAATTGTATGATTAGTTTTCTAAGACATTTAAACTAGGCATTATGAAAGAAAAAGAAACTATCTTTGAGGGAATTTTTGCCTAAGCAATGACATTTCTGCCAACTCTTCTTGAATATTGACTACCAGTGTGTACATGTGTTTCCAGTTTTTCATTCCATCCCAGCCTCTTCATCCTGCACCACTTATAAGGAGAAACCAAGCTGGGAAATCTCAAGGAACTTTCTCAACCAACACCGTGATCAAATCCAAGAACTTACCCGAGTCATCGTGGCTCTGGAACTACAATGTAGCTAAAAGTGAAGTGGTAGACATGCACAGAAGCAACCATGTAGAATATCATCTTAATGTACTGAAACCAGTCATAGATTATTTGAAAACTCTACATTGTTAATTGGATTTCAGTTTTTAATAATTTTAACCCTAAATCATAAAAAAATCATTTTATATGAAAAAATTTCCATTCAGTATTGTCATTTAATACAAGTTTTTCCTCATTCATATAATTACAGGATTTGAGTGACATAGTAGCTTTGAAATGTAATAGTTTCGAAAAGTACAATGTAAGTTTATTAAACATAAATTTTAATTTCATTATATTTTATATGTGGCAGTTTCTGCACAACAAACATTGCTCGTTATCTGTCATCTGCATTTACAGAATGGTATCATCTGCAGGGTATACTTCCATCTTACAGAGTATAAGTATTTCTAATACTTTTAACACACTACCTCAAACATGCAGTGTTGTACCACTGTATAATGGATGTTGGGGTGTGTTGGTGTTTTTTTTTTCAAATTCACAACTTTTAGCTAGAAACTAGAATGAACATTTATACTTTTTCTATATTTTCAGTATAATTTTGAACTGGAGAAGAGTGTATTGGATGACTTTCAGATTCATGAAATGAACAAAATAGCTATATCTAACTGAATTTTTTCCTGCAGGAATTATTTAAAGACCGTCTTCTTATACTGTTGATATTTCTTTTATGAAACCATGCATTCTGCGTGATGACTATAATTCCTTAAAAAGATTGGCAGAAATCAAAATGAAACATTAGAAAATTTTTGAATCTCTTGTTGGGTTGCATGCATTCCAATTTAAATAGGTAAATAAAGAAACTTAGGAATACTCATGAGAAAAGGTTAGTTGTGAATCTCCATTGCTTGCATGCATTCCTATTTAAGTTTGTAAATATTGAAGTTAAGGAAGAATAATGAGGAAAGGTCACAGTGCTTTAAGTGATATGTTTTATTCTGTGATAGCTGGTGGACGATATGGCTTAGAGCAATATCTAAAAAGGGGAGGTAATAAAAACATACAGTGCTCAGAAGGAAAATCAATTTTAATGTATAGTATCCAGTGTGAAGACCGAAATTTATTTGATTTATGTTTGAGTGTTGGTGTAGATATGTGTTTGCTGGATGTGAAACAAAATACAGCTTTACATTATGCAGCTATTTCCTCTGATATTTATTTTCTTTCCCAGCTTCTAAAATATAATGTCGAACTAAATCATCAAAACTATCAGGGAAATTCTCCACTAATGTTATCTGTCATCAAAGTACAGCCGGAATCGACTATATTATTATTAAACAAGGGAAGTAATCCAAATATAACCAATAAAGATGGGAATACTGCTCTACATTTATTAATTATCGATAATCCTAATTCACATAATCTGGATAATTCAGATTCAAAAGAACATCTTCCTTTGTTGCACGCCTTCATAAATCACCAAGCCAATTGGCAGATTTCAAACTTTGGTTTTGCTGGTGGTTCAACTCCGTTGTTGTGTGCTGTTGTTAATAAGGACCTAACATTAGTAGATAGTATTTTATCATGTATAGACCCTAATACATTTAGTACAGATTTACTACAACTTTACCGAAGTAAAAACCAGTGTTATAAGGAAGTGTTATTATTAAAAGGTGTGAACCCCTGTGTTAAAATCGACAATATCTCTGTAATAGACATCATATTAACTTCAGGAACTATAAATGATATACATTGTATGCTTCAAAATTATGCCAGTGCCACAATGAGTAATACAGGGAATGAGTTATTAGAGTATTGTTTTGGGACAGACGTTAAAAAGTTACCTTCTGTGCTAATAAATATATTAATTAAATGTGGTCTACAGGTAACACCTAATTCTTCTTTTATCAAAGTATCTGGCAAACCTAGATTAGAATTAGATGAATTGTTATCTGATTCCAGTCTTAATATACCAGTTAGTTTAAAAAGCCAGTGTAGGACAGTAATTAGACAATACCTACACATTGGTTTACATGAAAAGACTTTTCAACTGCCGATACCACGAAGTGTTAAAAGATATATTTTATTTTTCAATGAATTCAGTTGTAAATACAGTTATAATGTCAACAAATATTTGAAACATAAAATGATTTTGAAATGAAAATGTACAGATAGTTCCAAAATATACTTCCCACTAATTCCCTTTTCAAGGATAGTTTAGATCAGTTTTAGAATAGACAACATAATGTTCCATCATAATGTCTCATGCCAATGATCTACCAGTATTTAAATTTTACATTTTATGTTTTGTTTAATGATAAAACCTAGTCCTGATTCATGCTTATAGGTCTTTTTTACTTAATAAAATTGAAAATTAAACTATTGTTTGTTGTTTACTGAAAATAGATGATTATATGAACAGTCAAAACTAACCTCTGACCTGTAGAGCGGTTACAACAAGTTTTCTGTGAAAGGGGCAATTACCCCCATGTGCATATTTTAATTATAATAAGCCCCCCCCCCCCCTCCAGAAGACCACCCAGATAAACCTTGTATACTTGAAAACAAATGCCTAAAATACTTGGACCAGTATTGTGCTTTAATGTGGAACGTGTTTACAGTGTTTCGATGACAAGTGCAGTAATAATTATTTGTGGACACTCTACAGGTCACAATTTTTATCCGATTTCAACGAAACTTGAAATAGGTTTATCTCCCTAATACCTAGGTTCCTTTCGATATTGCATGTATCGGACCGTAACTTCATGGATTATGGCCCATGATTGTTCGAAAAATCGCGTTTTTAGCTTGTGACTCTATAGAGGTCACAATTTTGTATCTGATTTTGTTGAAGTAAGTTTATAACCCAAAGATCTTGGTTCCTTTCGATATTCGTGCATATCGGACCGTAACTTCCAGAATTATGGCCCCTGATTGTACGAAAAATCACGTTTTGTTAGCTTGTGGACCCTATGGAGGAAACAATTTTATTCCGATTTAAAAAAAAAAAACGTTTGAATATATCACCGTTACACCTTAATGGACTAAATGGCCGCCCCTCGAACGCAAACAGTGTAACAAATATGGTATATCAAGGTTGTGGATCCTCTTGAGCTCACAATTTTGATCCGATTTTGATGAAACTTGAAATACATGTCTATAACCTACAGATCTTGGATACTTTCGATATTTGAGCATATCGGATCGTAACTTCCTGAATTATGGCCTTTGACTGATGAAAAATCGCGTTTTTAGCTTGTGGCCCCTCTAGATGTCACAATTATTATCCGATTTAAAAAAAAAAAAAAACTTTCGAATATGTCACCGTTACACCGTATTGTTGGTTGAGTTCGAATTTCATGAAAATCGGACCAAAACCGCCAGGCAAAATGGCCGCCCTTCTACGCAAATAGTATAAACATCTGGTATATCAAGGTTGTGGACCCTTTTGATCCGATTTTGATGAAACCTGAAATGCATGTTTATAACCCAAAGATCTTGGTTGCTGTCGACATTTGCGCATATCGGGTCGTAAATTCCTGGAGTCAAAACTTGAGATGAAGGGGTTTTCATTAGCCCATATATACGCGATCATTTTAAAACATTGTACATATTAAGTGAATGGGGTTGACCGTCCTACTATTCTGCTCCGACTGGGCTAATGAAGATGGGCACACACTATGCAGTGTGCTATGAGGGAAATTTTGAACGGACAACCCCCCCCCCCCCCAGTGCACACGGGACCTTCGAACAAATAGTCGTTGTTCCTTGCCAGGCCCTACGACGTACACCACAAGGGGGAACCACGCCAGAAAATCCAGATGAACTTTCTAGGCAAACACTAGGTTCTAACACGAAACCCCCAGGTCAGCGAGCTAACATTTTACTCACTGAGCCACCGCAGCACCTTAAATTTTAGAGGTTATCAGAACACTTCAGGAAATCTGACTATTGTGAAGTCATAATTAAACGACGTCATAATAAAACCCATGACGTTTTGTCTATTGTTCCCCTATTTCTTCAGCCTGTTTAGAGTTAACGGGGCGTCTTTCTATTAATTTCTGTAGCAAGGTTTCATATTTCAACGAATTTTTAGTATAATTTTTCAAATCTGTTTAATAGATCACAGGTAAGAATATATTTCGTTATTTCCATATTATTTTTACTATCCCATCGATTGTCGATAGTTAGTAATAACTTTTCAATTATTAACACACACACAGATAAGCAGTGAATATTCGCCAGGCGGTTACGATCACTGATAAGGATGACATGGATGCGACTTAATGAGCCCCAAATATTAACTTTTTTCCTCCGACAAATTAAATTCTAAAACTTTTTTTTATGTATTAGAAAAATAAATAAAGACGTTTGAAGTATTTGTAAGTAAACATTATTTCCTATTTAGTGTAAATATGTATTAAAATGAGTAAAAGGCACCATTCTGCCCGAACCAGTAACGTCTTATGTAAACAATGCAAAACTTGTGTAGAATCCGGGTCCAACAGGAATAGGCCTATAAAAACAATGGTTTGAAGGATCCGATACGGAAGTGTCCTTCACTAGATAAGTAAAAAAAACAAAAGCGACACTAACACTGTTTTCATCGTCAGTTCTATGATTAAACCAACCTTTCGAAGAGATAGGGCCTACAGGATTTTAAACATGCAGTAAGAAATGTATTACATGTACTCTGCACTATTATGAGTAACTGCACCAAGAAACAATTCGCAATTCGCAAACGTCTCGACTGCAATTCATATAATATTATTTATCTGATTACCTGTATCAAAAGCAACCAACAATACGTCGGAGAAACTCAACAAAAACTCAAAGAGCGGATATCTGGACATAGATTAGATATTAAGAGTGTATCCGCGAGAAGACCATGCAAAAATCTCAAAAAGTGCTAAGATGGGGGGGTCGGAAGTTTTTGATCAAACTTATGGTATGACACCCCCTAGGGGCAAGAGGTAACATGCTGAAGTGGTTACAGTCTGATGTCGCTCTAAAGGACTGTACAGGAATTATTCATTTTATGGGTAAAATTGCGGTTTTCACATGTGTATTTATCACCTTTTTTAAGCACAGTCTGCATTCTATGGTGGAATAGCAACCATATATATATAATTTTGACCCTGTCTGATAAAGCGGGTGGTCAACTTCTACCTCAGCACTAATTTGAAAAAAAAAAATCAGTACATACTAATTTTGTGTGGACTTGTTTTAGGGTACCATATTCACATTGTCCTTATAGTGCAGAAAAAGATACACTGTAACTTTTTCTTTCATGGTCGCAAGTAGAATTTCTTTGGATGGTTTTGAAGTGCTAAGCACATAGTATCAATAGGTGTAAAAAATGACCGGAATGCAACATACTTAAAATATACAGCTTATTGAAAAGTGCTAAAAAAAGCTTTTGTGATACATTTTTTTGCGAATTTAATTAGAGAAATAAAATTTTTGACTTTAATACGTTTTCATTATATCCATAGCCATTATTTGTACCCTGTTGTACTCTATATAAGTGTGTATTTGTATTTATTGTATATTTGGTATTGTCGTATTGTCCCTTTAACATATTTGTTGTATTGTCTCTTTAAGATTTCATTTTCAAACAAGTTACCGAAAATGGCTACAAAATGTTTAATTTCAGAGCATGTTTCCACTATTCATTTTGGGACACATCCACTGATTTCTACAATACAGAAATGTGGAAGCTTAAATATTAACGGCAACGTGGCCTAATTGCGTCGAAGTGGGTGACATTGAACAGGGTAGTATGGTAGCTACAGCTCTGGGGCACCGTCAGCTGCACCTTCAGGGCCGGATTTAGAATAAGAGAGGCCCTAGGCAAACCCCCTGAACAGGGCCCACGACATGGACCTTGGGGCCCTGGGACAAGCATGAACGATTACAGGCCTTTGAAAGTATTTTTTTTCAAGATATTTTTATAAAACAGATACTAATGTATTTTAGGGCTGGTAGTAAACACCAGATGAATGAAAAGGAAAATAAATTGTTAGTTTTTTTTAATCTACTACGGTTAATTATATCCAAAATAGGGAAATTACAGGTTAATTTCATGGGTTATTGTTTCCTTTACCTAGTTTTTGTCAAGTCGATTCCGGTCATTTTTATTTTTTGTATCAAATGTTGGGAGGTTGCTTGTTCACGTGAGCATAAATTTTTTAAAGCCACCCCATGAAAGAAGTAGCTATAGGGCGTCAAACTTTGGGTGACGAAAAATGGGGAATTTAGACAGGCTTTGATATCCAGTTCGTATACAGATCTCGTTCGCCAGAATCGTCTGAAGTTAATATTGTGGTAACAGCACTGGGTCATCGATAAACTGTGTGAGTTTGGTCTTTCTGCTACGTATAGTAAAGGTGTAAGGACTTGCCAAAGTTGGTAATTGAGAAAAGACAGATTTTGGCAATTTCACCATATGTAAAATGTTTTTTCACCAGACTTCCCGATTGCCAGACATTTCAGCTCCTCTAATCATAATATAGACCATCGCTCGAGTCACCGCCTTTGACCAGCTCCATAATGCCACCACCCATTCACTTTTAAATAAAGAAACATTTTGGATTAGAACTCTTAAAACTCTTGAACCTACTGGTATTAATAATAATCCTCAAACCATCTTTCCCATTAGTGATTTTTAGACTGTCCTGACAAGGACAGCTGTCTAGTCGTTCGGTTGGGACGAAAAACCGAGGTCCCGTGTACACATTGGCGTGCACCTAAAAGATCCCTTAGCAGTTGGAATTCGATATAAGAGTAGGCGATAGTGCCGCTGCCCGGGCAAAATTTCCCTCATAGCACACTGTATGGCGTATGTCCGTCTTCATTAGCCCAGGTTAGGAGCAGAACAGTAGGACGTTAAACCCCATTTCATTTCATTTCGAATTTCGTGAAAATGGCCGCCCCTCGTACGCAAATAGTGTAAATATATGGTATATCAAGGATATGGACTCTCAAGAAGTCACAATTTTGATCCGATTTTGATGAAACTTGAAATATATCTTTATAACCCAAAGATCTTGGTTCCTGTCGATATTCGCGCATATCGGGTCGTAACGTCCTGAATTATGGCCCTTGATTGTACGAAAAATCGCTTTTTGTTTAGCTTTTTCTCTATCCTTTTCTGCAAAATGTGGGCGTATCCTGCCTGGCAGCCGCTGGTTTTAAAATTAATATATGATTTATTTTGAATGATACTATTCCTTATATATATTTAATGATAATTGTAAAATGATTTACTTTAATTTCGTAACCTTTATTTAATTATTCTTATTAGGCTGATTTCTACAGGAAACTTTACGAATGCATGCATTAGAAATAAAGGAAGAAGATATAATCCGAAAACACAG